TACATAGGCTTCGTCTTCTGTTTTCAGTTCTTGGTCTTTCAAAATCCAAGCTACAGGCCATAATGAAAAAGAAATTACCCACATCTCCTAGCACAATGCTTTTGCTGGTTTGCTAGTCTGGATTTCAGCTCTCTTTGTATCTGGCTGGTCTCAAATGTTTCTAATTTACCTATTAGATTATCTATTGGGTAATCGGGAAAGTCATGACACATTTTTGCATTGAAAAACATAGAAAAATTTGTCATGACTTTCCCAACGACCCAATATGTATTTAAAAATATTTTATCCATCATTTTTAGTTCTTTTATTTCACCATATTTCTAGAAACCAAACCACCTTTTAAAAACTCTTGTTAAAGTTCTCCTGGATATCAGCAATGCCTATTTTTCTTTAGCTCCCAAATGCTAAGCTGTTTGGTAGAGGTCCCATTTCTCCTTCAGGTAAAAACATAAGACTATAAGGACTACATTTCTCAAAATTATTACACTTAGTAAAAGACAGCATATCTTGGCGGTTGCAGGGAACCTAAACTAAGGCTAGATAGCTACTAAGAGAAGAGAATTTTCTTCCCTCTTTGTGCTCCCTTATCACAGAGAAGAGTCTTAGCCGCATATCACTTAGATATGTTTCTGGTGGTTTACCTCACTATAAATTCAGGCCCCAGCTAAAAGTTAGCTAAAGTAGAACCACATACCCTAAGTACATGCACTATCAGTTGGAGAAAAGAGTAAAAGAAAGCAGGGGTAAGGGAAAAATGCTCTTTGCCCCAATATCACAAAATGAAATGCAGCATTCCTATATTCATTCATTCTTTCTTTCTTCCCTTTCTTCCCTTTCTTCCTTCCTTCATTCACTAATATTTACCTAGCACTGACTATGTGCAGAGCATTATTCTACGTGTTGGAGATAAAACAGTGACTAGATATACATAGGAATAATGACGTATAAATGAATATGTAATAAAGGAAGATAAGAAAATCAATATGACAGCCCTTTGAAAATGAGAAAATACTACAAAACTCCTATGTTATTATCATCTTTATCACAAAGGGATCAGGATAAGTCTCATAAATAATGATTACAAGAGCTGCTTTTTCCCTTTGCACAAGAGAAAGTACGCCCTGATGGACTTGGAGTTTCAAAGCAGTTTTCACTGCAAAGTTTCTTTCACAAAGACATTTTCAAAATTCTGTTTATCTACAATTTAACACTTCTCAATTCTTGTTCAGTCACAAATGAAGAAGGAACATCCTATAATTCATATTAGCCTTTCTAATAAATCAATCAATTTAGCCTGAAAAGTATTCTAATTCAACTTCTATTTTCTCCACCAATAAATCTCAGGTTTCATATCCACAACAAGCCATGGACCAGAATGAAAGATTTAACGAAGCTTCAGCACGGTAGTTGTTGAGTAAGCGTGCTGATACATTTCCACACCATAAACGTTTAATGAGACTTACTCCCAACAGAGTATTTACTACATCAATTTATTTCATAGTATTATATTTGCAGAAGCAAGATAGAGCAAAGGTTACTTTGGATCCTTTACCAATACAGCTTCCTGTAAATAAAGAAAAGTGCAACCATTTAATTCACAAAATCATTTAAAAAGGCTAAGTGCTCAATAAATTGGTCTTTATCTAGTTCAGACAGCTTCAGCAGCTATTTGTAGCTCAGATATAAAAAAAATATATAAAATTCAGGCATTTTTACAATCTTGGGCACCTCTAGCTTTGACTGGAACTAAATTTCAAAGGTTGTTGAGACAGTATTAGAATTTCAGAGAGATATCTTTGGGATTCCCTCCTGCCTTATTCAGAAGTGAGTCCACCACTTATTCTGAGAAAGGAAAGACTCCATCACTACTGCTGTGCCCACTCGCATCAAAGCTACACACACAAGCGCGCGCACACACACGTTCTTCTCCTCTCCAACCACTGCCATTTCTTGCCTGTCACAGCCACTTCCAACTAAAGTGAAAAAAGAGAAGTCCCAGAAGGGAGAACAATTTAGAAATCTTCTCTCTTCTTCTACAATCCTAAGAATATAGAATGCAGTGTCTGGGATAAATTGGACCATTTACGCAAGCATCTCCTGACACCATTCTGCTTAGTACTGTAAAAAATGATATACAACCCTATCTGTCTAGAAAATTTTATCTCACCACATTAGCCACTCCCCAAATACAGACTATTTTTACTTAAATGACCCAGACACAAAGCCCTTTGCATTCATAAGTTATTCCATCTTTTAGACTTGGTTATACTTATAATTTCTCTGATGATGCATAGAGACTAACAATCAGCATAAATTGTGTTGAATTTTAATTAAACACATTAAATTATTTCTGTGAGAATGCGATATAGCACAGAAGTTAGAAATATCTTCTGAAATCAGAGAGACTAGATTCATATTCTGGCTACCACCACTCACTAGCATTCTGACTTGAGCAAGTTACCCAACCTTTCTAAGTCCCGGTTTTATTTTCTGTGAAATAACATAAAAATGCCTATCTTATAGGGACTTTGTAATAAGTAAGTGACAAATTCATGGTAAGTGTTTAGCTATCAAGAAATGTTACATTTTAATTTCTGGGGGACCTTTCTACTGGTATCATTGGTATAAAATTAGGAAGAAACAGTCTTGTCCAGTTTTCAATCTTCTTATGAAAATAAGATTTGCATGTAATGGGCAAGTTTATTGAGTCCTCATTACACAGGGCAAGCAATTAGATGATGCAGTATTAATAAAGAGTTACTACTAATCTTATACCCTATGTAGACAAATAGTTACTAAAATTTTCACATAGATGCTAATAATTAGAAATTTAATAAATTTTCACATGGTTATCAATAATTCAAAATTAAATAATGCTGGATTAAAGACAGGTAGCAAACAGAAAAGCATACAGAAAGGTTATTCTAAATTTAAATAAAGTACTAATTTTATAGTGAAATTTATAAAATTAATAACAATATAAGAATTATCTGTTATGTGTTTAGTTTATTAAATTATCAATGAAACTTTAATAGTTTTAATTGCATTCATTTCTTCATTATGGAAGAATCTGCCTCCATATGGTCATCTCCACTAAAGATAATGAGAGCTAAGATTTCTTGAGCACTTATTAAGTACCAGGCACTGCTCTAAGAAATTTTACATGTATTATTAATTTACTGATTCTGACAACAGCACTATGATATAGGCTCTATTATTATCCCCATTTTATAGGTGAGAAAACTGAAAGTTAAATAAGATAACTTTCCTATGGTCACACGGGCAGTACGAGTCACAGCTGTAATAGGAACCAGGCATTTTGGATTTCAAAATCCTTATCCTTAAGCACAACACTCTGTCCCAACCCCTACCCCTTCCACCCCCTGCCATTAAGCAACTACATGTCTGACTTGGGTAGCCAATGATCTTTAACATCATACTTGAATGTTTGATAAATATCTCAAATAGAGTTTCTGAGCTTCCTCTCAAAACCAGCTTTACCCACAGTAGTCCCCATCATGGCTGATGAAAACTTCATCCATCCAGTTGCTCAAGCCCAAAATAAAACAGAACCTTGTATGCATTTGTGGTAGACAGAGTTGTGCTGCCCATTCCCCCTTCCGGGTAGGATTTGCTGCCCAGCTGTGGGGAGTGAGGGCAGCAGACGGCACCCAGCTGTCAGCAACTTCAGTATCCATCGCAGCTGCAGGAGGCTGCTCCCCACTCCCTGGCCCCGGGGTCATACCCTTCCCAAGGCAGAATAACCTGTTTCCAATGACTGAAACGGGCATAAGGCCTGGCTTTTCTGCCTGACCAAGATACACTCAAGAACAACTTTCTTTCCAGAACTCCTTTCTGATTGGTCCAGGCCTTATGGGTCTGGCTCCCAGGTAGACTTCTTCCTGTGCTTAGTCCTGCTCTCTCTTCACACATGTTAATGTTTATAACACCCTGTAGCCCAAACTCTGCCTTGTGGGTGCTTCTGGAGGACCCAGCCGACACCACCACCCAGGATTCCTCTTTCTCTATTCTGTCAAATTCTGTTGGCTCTACTTACTAAATTTAGCCTTAATATCTACTGATGCCACCCCAGTCCAAACTAAAATGGGAGGTGGAATGAAGTGGTGCCCGTGTTACTACAATAGCCGCCTGCCTGGAGGCGGCTGGAGCACTCAGCTGCCTGGAGGCTATTGTTTAGCTTCTCCCTTTGTTCGCCTTCATTCTAAGCGCCACACACAGTCAAGGTGGCCCTTTTATGACTCAAGTCTCAGGGAGTCACACCTCTGCTTAAAACCTTACAATGTATCCCGTTTAACTTGAAGTAAAAGCCAGAGTCCTTAAAAGCCTACCCAGCCCTCCATAACCAAACCCCATTGGGTCTTTGACCCATGCTCCTACTACTCACCCCCCACTTTCCCCACCCAGGCACCCAGGCTTGTGCTGTCACTTCAACACCAGGACATGCCTTCAAGCCTTTGCTCTAGATCTCCACCTGCCTGATTCTCTAACTTCCTACAAGTCTTTGATAGCATCTCATTTTCTCCATGTAACATTCTCTACAATTTACTTAACCTAGATTTATTGCTCTTGTTTTTTGCCTATCTTCCCCTCCTCAAATGTAAGCTTCATGAGGGCAGTGATGGATTATATCCCAAGCACAAAGAACAGTGCCAATAATAAGTATTTGTGTAAGGAGTACATCCTACATTTCATAAGTTGACCGATATAAAATAAAGTCATCATTTCAATCTAATTACCAATCCCAATTTTAAGTTCACTGACTTTTTTGGCAGAGATGTAAAGGAATCAGGAGTCTACTGATAGAATATTTCCCTGCTAATCAGTACATTCGAAGATACAAGATGATGATAGAGTCTGATCGTATAACTGGATTTTTAATTACTCATATTCTAAACTCCAAAACATGGACCTGAAAACCCACTTCTGTTTATTTTCATATTGGGATGACAAATCACGTTTTTAACTTTCTTTCAACTTACTTCAAGCTCATCAAGAGCACTTCCCAGGGTCGCAGCCTGAGATTCCGGTGCGGCCAGCGTGTTCTGGATACCTTGGGAAGCATTTGAAATGACATTGAGGGCGTTCTGAATCTCTTCACAAACTGTGTCCTTGCTGGCTTTGAGAGAAGCGACATCAGAGTGCTCCAAACAAGCTGAACAAATTGAATGCAAGAGAGGGGAGTTCTCCTTTAATGATGCTCGGGCCCCTGCGATTTCGTCCCTCTGGTTTGGAGATTTTAAGTCCTGAGGAGAGAGAAATAAAAAGAGAAGTGCCTTACAATGAGCTATGGGAGACAGAGTTAAACAAAGAAGCTCCATTTTTCTGTCAATACAAATGAAAAGATAATAGACACTAAGGATCCAGCTATAAGTTAAAATCACGGCCATCATTTATTTTTACACCCCTTCAGATTCTGTTAAAATTTCTACAGTAGGAAAGCTGAGCCAATTAGCAAATAAAGGTCACAATGGTGCAGATGTGTAATGCTGAGTAGATCTTGCATTTGTCAGTCATATCCTTATAAGTCAGAAAAATACTTTGGCATTCACATTAAGTGTATTATAAGAGAGCTTGAATTATAAGGAAGCTGATTACCTATTTCCATAAATGCTGATGATTGCATTTAACCTTTTCATTAAAACTAAACCAATTCAGTTAAGAACACTAAATTGAACTTCCCACCATTCAGCTATTTTCTATTCTTTTTCAAAAATACTTACTAATAAATTAATGCCGTATCTTTCTTTGACATTTATTCAACAAATAGTTACTGAGCACTTAGCATATGCTAGCCTTTGTGCCAGATGCCGAGAGCACAGATGTGAACAATCCTACAAGGACCTTGTTCTCTTGAAGTTTATGTTCTTGTTTGAGGGATAGGGGGCCTATACATATGCACTAAACTAGTTAAACAAATACACAAGACAATTTCTGGTAGCGCTATGAAGAAAACACAAAAATAAAATGTCATGGAGACTGATTTGAGAGGAGAGAGCTGCTTTAGCTTGAGTGGTCAGAGAAGATATTTCCACTGGAATGACATTTTCAGTAAATATAAATGAAAACCATTCCAAACAGTGGGAAGAGAAGGTCCTATATAAGTGATAGCTGCTCAAGACTAGCTCAAGATACAGTGAAAACCCTGGTAAGCCCTACCTTAACCAAGTAATGATGGCTAACATCATTAGTGAGGTCACATGGATATCGTGTGCCCCTTGGTATATCGTGACAAGAAGAGCACTTCCCCTCTCTGGTATGCCCTCCAAAAGCCCATGATCCCAGACTAATCTTGAGAAAAACAATAAACAAAACCAAATTGGGGAACATCCTACATGATATCTGGACAGTATTCCTCAAGACTGTTGAGGCCATAAAAAAACAAAGAGACTGGTCAACTCATAGACCAGAGGAAGCTGAGGAGACATGACAACTAAATAAAATGTGGTACCCTGCGTTGGTTCCTGGGAAAGAAATAAGACATTCATGGAAAAAGTGATGAAGTCCAAATAAAGCCTAGAGTTTAGTTGGTAATAATGCATCAATGCTTTGCTTGTTGTGGCAAAGGAAAGATAATGAAGGAAACCAGGAGAAAGGTAGATGGGAAATCTCTGTACTATCTTTGGAACTTTTCTGGAAATTTAAAAGTAGTAATATAAATAGACAGCTTATTTTATTTTATTTTTTATTTTATTTTTTTTTTAGCTGAGCCATCCTGCCACCTGTTGGCAGCTCAGCGGCAACTCAGCTCAGGCCAGGAATCAAACTGCTGTTGCTCAGAGCTCACTCTTGAGCAAGCTCTTAACCAACTGAGCCACTCGGCCATCCCTAGACAGCTTATTTTAAATAAGACTAATTCAAGGGAGCTTAATAGCTAATTCATTCCACATACACTATCTAATGTCATCCTTATAAATGTCATCCATGATAGCTACTATTCCCCATTTTAAAGATGAGCATACTGAGGTTTACAGAGTCTAAATTCCTAAGCCAACTGACAGATCTAGATGGTGGCATTTCTTGTGATTATAAATTAAGTCAGCGTGATGCTAAACCATGATCCTAACAACTATGTTATCCTCTTTCCTGAACAAGAAGGATTTTCCTTATTTGCTATAAAAGGACAAGGACTTGTATTTGTATAATGACTTATGGTTTATAAATTGCTTCTAAATATAGTATCTTATTGATCATCACAACACCTTTGGAGGCAGTAAGGCTGGTATTATTAGCCCCATCTTAACTAAATAGGTGTTGAGTGTAAGAAGATTAAGAGGCTAGTAAAAGAACGATGATCTAACCCTAAAAGTAAATTCCATGCTTTTTCCCCAAGACTCTGCTACCAAGGAATAATGTTGCCTAGGTTCAAAAATGGCTGTGCTACTATAGTTTTAGTTCCTTCCTTTCTGAAAATAAAGGCTGTCTGCTACTTTTCGCAGGCTTTGGGGGAGATTAACTTCTTTACAAGATATAGGGAGGACAGTTTGAAGTAGCTGTCAACCCACTGCTTATACTCACTAATTACCCAAGAAAAGACACTTTGTGGTTTTCTTAGCCAGCTATGATTTCCCCCTTATATTTCTGGTCTGAGTTCTGGTTTCAGCTCTGCCATTAGCACTATAAACTGAGTAGTCTTTCAGTGTCTTTTTCCATCTATAAAAATGGGGATAATGATGTTTCTGCCAACATAACATTGAGTAAGTAACACATCAGAAATGGAATAAACTTGGAAAATTGCAGAGACTTATATAAAAAATACAAAATTATTTTATTCCTTAAATTTATCAAACTTGGTGTACATATCACAGTGTGACTTGGAAGATAAGCAATTTAATGTTTTGAAAGGATATACACAGCTCCTCAGCAGAATAACAATGAAAAGTATAAATTATCAGAAAGGTGAAGAAAATTCTCTGAATATTACAGTATAATCAAAACATTATATAATTCCCTCTAGAGTGACCTACCCATGATGTATATATACCTCTTTATCTAGAATGGCAGGTCAACATTTAGGTAGTTTCTGAAAAGAGAAAGCCTTTGAACATATATTATTACAAAGAAGGTTAAAGTTAAAAAGTTAACTTCTTTTACTCTGATGGTGGCTATGTATATCTGATGGTAAATTATGGTAACTCTAATGCTGTAGGGATTTTGAAATTTAAAAATTCGATTATATTTTTGGCTTTGAGCCTAAGCTTTGTTATCTCTGCCCAAGGTAATTATAGAATCTTTAATGAGCATTGATATCCCAAATAGCAATCTCAAAAAGCCTGTGAGAAGGAACAAGCTCCGTAAGCATAACAAAAATGACGTATTATTGCATCTGGTAGGGGAAAGAGAGGAGGTTACAGAGTTTAGGTAAGGGAAATAAAGAAGGCGGGGCCATTTTTCCTAAAGGACATTCCAAAGGATACATTTAATGTAATAAATAGACATGTAAACAAAAAAGAAACTAGTGAATGTCAGCCTTCTAAGCAAAAGGTTATGGTGATGTTTGTGTTATTTTCTTTTAACTGATGATAACCATAGGTTTGAAGATTCTTAGGTTGTCTATTTATCCCAAAATTTTAAACCAAGTCAAAATAAGAATTAAATGGTAGGGTCAATTAGGGATTTCTTTGGATGGAGAATTATAAAGAATTCAGCTCCTCAGAGATTGATGCTTATTGAATATCTTTTTTTAAATGCTCCAGAAGAAAAAGTTAACATGAGATTTCCAAGTTAAGTAGACATTAAATGCTTCCAGTTGATGATAAAATACACAGATGAGATTAAAAAAAATAAAATAAAATTTTACAAGTCTGTGCAAGTGGGTAGAAAAGTAACATGAATTTTAACCCTGGCAAGAGAACAAAATATATTTAAGGATTTTAAAGATTAAAGAGTATAAAAAATGGAGGGCTCTAAACTATCAGTTAATTAATTCATCCATTCATTCAACAAATATTGTTGAGCTCCTACTATACTTTAAACAGTTTGCTAGATGTTAGGAATACAAAGATAAAGAGCTTATAGATCAGAAGAGGAAACAAACAAATCTATGTGGGAGTTAAAATAGAGTTGTTCATAGCATAGAGGAACATCCTTTGGTTTGAGGGGATTCTAAAGAAAATTTATCAGAGGACGTGACTCTTAAACAATAAGTAGAAACTTTCCCTGTAAACAATGCAGAAGAAAGAAAAACAGGCAAAGAACATAGCATGTGCAAAGGCCTGAGGCAGGAGAGAGCAAAGAATGTACAGGCCATGGCAGGTGGCACCACAACAAACAAGTAAACCTTGAAGATGCTGCAGTTTGGTTCCAGATCAACACAGTAAAACTAATATCACAATAAGGTGAGTCACAAGAACATTTTTGTTTCCCAGTGCACATAAAAGTTATGTTTGCAATACTATAGTCTATTAAGAGTGCAATAGCATTACATCTAAAAAAATGTACATACTTTAATTTAAAAATAAATTTTATTGCTCAGAAATGCTAACCATCATCTGAGCCACCAGTGAATGGTAATCTTTTTGCTGACAGAGGATCTTGCCTCAGTGTTGCTGGCTGCTGACTGATCGGGGTGGTGGTTGCTGAAGGTTGGGCTACCCTGGCAATTTCTTAAAATAAGATAACAGCATCAGTTGACTCTTCCTTTCATGAACGATTTCTCTGTAGCAGGTGATGCTGTTTAATAGCATTTTATCCACAGAACGTTTTTTTAAATCAGAATCAATTGCCTCAAAGCCTGCCACTGTTTTATCAACTAAGTGTACATGATTCTAAATCCTTTGTTGTCATTTCAACGACCTTCACAGCATCTTTCATCTCAAGAAACCTCTTTCTTTACTCATCCATAAGAAGCAACTTCTCATCTGAGAAAGTTTTATCATGAGATTTCAGCAATTCAGTCACAATTTCAGGTTCTACTTCCAATTCTAGTTCTCTTGCCATTTCTGCCATATCTGCAGTTACTTTCTCCACTGAAGTCTTGAACCACTCAAATTTATCCATGAGGGTTAGAATCAACTTCTTCCAAGCTCCTCTAAATGGTGATAATTTAACCTCTTTCCAAAAATCGTGAATATTCTAAATGGCATCCAAAATAGTGAATCCTTCCCAGAAGATCTTCAATTTACTTTGCCTAGATCCATCAGAAGAATTTCTGTCTATGGCAGTAATAGCCTTCCAAAATGAATTTCTTAAATAATAAGACTTGAAAGTCAAAATTACTCCTTGATCTGTGGGCTTCAGAATGGGT